GAAATTCGAGCAAGTACTTACAGAGGAGCAGCAGCAAGCTCAGGAGCAGGAGGTGCAGGGCCCAGAAGAAGGAGCCAACGAAGACGTGCTTGAGTGCCTCGATCACCAACCTTCATCTTTTCTGAAAGGCAAACCCCGGAGTATTCTAAGTCTCCTATGTTTTGAAAATGGTTACTTTGAGTATCTTTATTTGTGATGCATTAAGTGATAGGAATTGGATGCAAACACTTGCTGCATATATATCTATTCCTTGTCCAGTAAACGTACCCTGAATCCTATTTAGGTCCAGGAGCGAATCAAAGCTTAGCCTTGCTTAGACCGGTAAAAGTCAGGTGATTTCCTGTCACCTGCAAGTTAGGATGATGTCCGGTCACGGTTGGTTATATTTGCTATCGTAGAAAATAACCTTGTGTTAATAATAAATTGTGACCGGACGGGATGTCGATAGAGAAGCAACAAGGCAAGGAGGTCTTGGGTGTGTATCTATCCCCGTCTGAGTCGTTTAAGGACTGATTCGCTGTACGTCCTCATGTCATGTTGAACGCATGCCTATCACTTAGTTGGCCGGATAACTCGTTCCGACCGCGAAGCCGAGTAGCTCAACTCAGGCCGGAAGCCGAGAAGTGAAAGTGCGCACTCTGGCGATAGTGAAGATGTGCGGGGAGCTATTGGCGTAAGTCCAAAAGGTGAGATTGACCACCTGGCAGAGTGGACTCCCTGAGAGTGCGGCGCTGCGTGGGCCCGCGATTCCTGAGTTGTATCAAAGGTGACCCGAGGCAACCACTAATCAGGTTGATTGGGTTTGTGTTAGGAATACCCCTCCAGCTGGATAGGAATCAATTCGAATCGCCGTCTCTCCCGGATAGTGAGAACTTGACTGAGCAGCGGCAACGTAGATGCACTTAATGGAACTTGATGGTTAAATCGATGATGATGATGATACAACATTATATCGGATATGGTTACTAATGTTTGGAGTTAATCAATTGCTTGCTCTAGTACATGTGCTAATCTAGTTGATAGGTTAATATTGATAACTTGCTGCTTACTCATAATTTAAATTATGCTCTTATATCATTAAAGCTTTTATGCAAAATGGTTATAAAGCAAGCTCCACCGATAAAGCCTTGCATACTCCTTGGTGTCATTTATTTTTGGTTTACAACGGGTAAGTCTAGCTGAGTACATTCTCGTACTCAGGGTTTATTCCCCCTTGTTGCAGATGACGTGCTCTATAACGGCTACTGCAAGTATTGTCTCCACCCTGCGGGGGATGAAGACTAGATCATGGGCATGATGAAAGGTCCTAATATGGCTAGAGGGGGGGTGAATAGCCTATTTAAAAACTACAAATCAACTAGAGCAATTTGATTAGTAAGACAAATAGCGAAATGCAAACTTGCTCTAGCTCTACAAGGGTTGCAAGCCACCTATCCAACAATTCTAGTTGCAATGATCTATTTGCACACAATCTACTTGACCACTACTCACTAAGAGCTCTCACAAAAGCTACACTAAAGAGCTCCACTAGATATGTTTAAAGCACAAGGCAAGCTCTCAATTCTAATTACACTAAAGAGCTTGCTATATCTAGTTTGCGGAAATGTAAATGAGTAAGTGAGACGATTATACCGCCGGGTTGTGGAGTGAACCAATTACACGATGAATATATATAGCCAATCACCGGGAGAATGCAAATGACAAGAGACAACCGATTTTTCTCCCGAGGTTCACGTGCTTGCCAACAGTCCCCGTTGTGTCGACCAACACTTGGTGGTTCGGCGGCTAAGAGGTGTTTCACAAACCTCGTCCACACAATAGGACACCGCAAGAACCGACCCACAAGTGAGGTAACTCAATGACACGAGCAATTTACTAGAGTTACCTTTTGACACTCCGCCGGGGAAGGTACAACTCCCCTCACAATCACCGAAGGCGGCCACGAACAATCACCAACTCGTGCCGATCCTTCACCGCTGCTCCAACCGTCTAGGTGGTGGCAACCACCAAGAGAAACAAGCGAAATCCGCAGCGCAACACAAATACCAAGTGCCACTAGATGCAATCACTCAAGCAATGCACTTGGATTCTCTCCCAATCTCACAATGATGATGGATCAATGATGGAGATGAGTGGGAGGGCTTTGGCTAAGCTCACAAGGTTGCTATGTCAATGAAAATATGCAAGATAGATCCCTTGAGACGGCCATGGGGCTATAAATAGAGCCCCATCAAATAGAGCCGTTGTACCCCTTCCTTTGTGCAAAACACGCTTTCGACCGGACGCTTCCGGTCATACCGATCGGACGCCGCCCTCGCCGTCCGATCGCTCGATGGACGCGCCGCGTCACCCGACTAAACGCTGTTTCGCCGATTTCAAGCGGCTCGAAGTCGACCGGACGCTCTCGCAAAAAGCCGGCCGGACGCTGAAGCCCCGTCCGGTCGTTTCAAGAAGCTCCCGAGGCGTATTTCTTCGACCGGACACGTCCGGTCCACCTTGACCGGACGCAGACCTGCGTCCGGTGCTCAACCCTTCCCATGTGTGCCGTCGATACGACTCGGCCGGACGCATGACCTTTTCAATGTTCGGTCCATCGAGTGACCCAGCGTCCGGTCAGAAGACCGACGCCAGCATCATTTCGACCAACTCCATTTCAACTCTAACTTCTTCACCCTTGCTCAAATGTGCCAACCACCAAGAATTATACATCCGGCGCAATAGAAAATAGACATTTCATTTTTCCAAAAGCGCCGAATCTCAACCCTGCAAACACCTTGTGCACATGTGTTAGCATATTTTCACAAATATTTTCAAGGGTGTTAGCACTCCACTAGATCCTAAATGCATATGCAATGAGTTAGAGCATCTAGTGGCACTTTGATAACCGCATTTCGATACGAGTTACACTCCTCTTAATAGTACGGTTATCTATCCTAAATGTGATCACACTCACTAAGTGTCTTGATCACTAAAACAAAATGGCTCCTACATTTTATACCTTTGCCTTGAGCCTTTTGTTTTTCTCTTTCTTCTTTTCTAAGTTCAAGCATTTGATCATCACCATGCTATCACCATTGTCATGATCTTCGTCATTGCTTCATCACTTGGAGTAGTGCTACCTATCTCATAAACATCTTGATAAACTAGGTTAGCACTTAGGGTTTCATCAATTAACCAAAACCAAACTAGAGCTTTCACATGATCATCTATGTTATCTTATCATGTTGCTTTTGCTGGATATGACTATGGAACTGGCTTGTATTTGAACTAAGTGTGTGTGATGGTCTCAAACTACTTTGCTTCCGTTATTTGTGAACTCGTTTTGTAATAACTATGTGAACTCTAATGTATGAGGTACTTGTGAACTACTTGTGAAATGGATGTAACATGTGGCTTGTTATGTTGAATTACTATGATCTTGGTTGTATGCAAGTTGGTTTGAAATCCTTCGTGGTTTCAGTTGACTACCGGGTTTATATGGGTTCAAGTATGACGGGTTGATCACTTCGGTGATTGCTTTCGTACTTGTGCTCTTATAAATTGGTCGGTTCTGTTACACCAGTGAGTACGAGTAATTGGATGACGGTGGCTTGAGCTTGACGAATTTTCCATCCAATTAATATATGTTTCTTGCACTTGCCCGTTCAACGCCCGGTGGCCAGGGGAGAAGAGAAGGGTGTGGGAACCATCAGGAGATGGCATCCCCTCACCAAATCCGTAGCCCCCGGTGCTGGCTCCCCGGCCGGGTTCTCCAGCCAATCCATAAAGACCCCCCAGCAGCTTCTACCGCTAAGCGGACGATCCTCCGGCCTCCCCGCTTTTCGATCGCAGTGCACGCGCGCTCGATCGTCCAAGCGAAAACACCCGCCGCAGACGGGAGATCGAGAAATGAGTAGGATGAGGCAAAGAATACTGGTAGCGAAAGCGAGCCGCAGCACCATGAGCTTGGCGGGCGACGCAAGTTGTCGCTTCGCGGACGTGGGAGCCGGGCCCACGGGCACGAAGCACGCCATCGCCGTCATTGCGCAAGCGGCGGCGGCTTTGTTCACGTGGCGAAGCGTCTTCTTCTTCCTCTCTGCGTCATCGTCATGTACGACCATGAGCGGCGAGCGTCGCCGCGCCACCAGCAGAGAGAGGACGCGTCGGGGGAGTGGCCGTGAGGATGGAGAGGGAGGGGTTGAGTCGATGACGCGTGGGCCCCACATGTCAAAACCGCTCCATGTTGGAAAAAACAGCCTCACCCGCATCCAGGTACTAAAAATAAACGGTTTTGACAGTTAGGTAGTGGTGTTGACGGTTTTATAATTAAAGATCAAAATTAGTCGAGTACAAATAGTTGAGGGACAAAAATGAAGTTAATATTTTTTTTTCCTACGGACGCTGACGAAAAGGAAAACCGCCACTCGAAAGGTGGAAACGGGCCGGTAGATTACTTCACACCACGGGCCCCACCCATATGTTCCTTGTGCCCTGCTGCAGGCTGCACAACGCCGCTCCCTCGTCCTTTCACGGTGCCAGCGCTAGTCCCTGACAGTTGTCTCCCACACGGGACGTCTTCTCCCTCGTCCCCACCTGTCATACACCATCCAAGTCAGAGACCACCGAAAATCGAAGCCTCTCGCCGTCTCGCGCACGCAGAGCCGCGGCGCCCATGTCCCCTCGATAGCACCCCCTGTTTTTTTCCCATCTCCAACTCCAACTCTCCTGCCCCCACCCTTCCACCTCTGCTCCCTTCTCCCCTCCCGCCGTTGCAGTTTGCAGCTCCAACCCCAACCCTCGTCCCTCTCCCCGAGCCGTCGCCTTCGCCTTCGCCGCGAAATCTAGGGTTTACGCCGCGCATCGGGTACCGCGCACGCACCGACCGACCACCCGGCGGTCGGCGCCGCTAGCCGCGGGTTCGCTTGCCGGTTGTTGAGCGCGGCCGGAGAAGGGAGGGGCGACACTGCTCGTGGGCGTGGACCCGGTCGGTTAGCCATTGTGCCCCGCGAGGAACGGCAACCATGTCGCAGACGAACTGGGAGGCGGATAAGATGTGAGCGTGCATTGCCTGTTGTTTCCTGACGGTTTAAGATGCTTTTTTTTTTCTTTTTGAAACAGGCTGTTTTGTTTCCCCTGGGCGCCGTTCCGATGGTCGCGTTTGCCGTTCCACAGTTGTCTTGCTGGACAGGCATATACGCTGTCTGTTGATTCCTCCTCAGGGTTCATTGAGTCTGGATTCCCTTGGGGATAAACTACATATGGAGTTAGAAGGAATATTTTTGGGAGATTGCGACATGCCGGGGGAAATAATGCCGATTTAGTGTACCGATGAATAGCGACTACTGCCCAGTGGCTACCGTTGGTGTCGCTGAGATTGCATGAGCGGGTTTGTAGCTTAGTAGAGGCGTACAGATGTACTGTACTTATGCTTTGTAAAAGCGGTACAAGACATGATGATGTTTTACAATGTACAGCCATTACAATAAAAGATGTTGGTAGTTCCTCGTATTCTTTAAGTCTTGACTTCTTGACTCCTTGTAGATAATGAGATCTCGTAGATAATAGGACAATGCAATGTTGTACCGTTCTGAATGTTTTTTGTTTCCATCCAGTTTGTGATGGTGATGTAGTTATATAAATTAGATGCATGTTTGTTTCGACCCTCCTCAGAAGGACTGAGTGATCTGTTATTTTATTACTTAATGATGAAACAGGCTGGATGTGTACATATATGACTATTTTGTTAAGAGAAACCTTCAGGCAACCGCAAAGGCCTTCCAAGCAGAAGGCAAGGTCTCATCAGATCCAGTTGGTACGCCTCTTGAACAGTCACAATGGAGTCTTTTTGGCTTGGTTTCATTTTTGTGATGGCATGGTTTTGAGCTTATCTTTCTTGTAGCTATCGATGCTCCTGGTGGCTTTCTCTTTGAGTGGTGGTCTGTATTTTGGGATATATTCATAGCACGAACAAATGAGAAGCACTCAGATGTTGCAGCGTCATATATCGAGGTATGCATGTGGACATGCTAAACCATGCTCTTCATTCCTGCATGTTACAACCATTTTTTCTAATGTAGTTACAGAAACAATCTACCAACTTATTTTTCTGAATGGGGTGTGCTACCCTCTATATTATATATAGAGTAAATTGCACGGCCGGTTCTTAAAGTATTGGACGAGTTTTATCTAGGTCCCCAAACTACGAAATCGCACGTTTGACTCCCTAACGTATTTAGATCGTCTCATCTAGGTCCAAAATACACACAAGAAGACTTAGAAGCTGACGTGGCCGTCCACGTGGTCAGCCACGTACCCGCGCGCTCAAGGCATGCTCGCCCAGCCGGCCATGGCCACCGCCAACAGCGACAACCTCGATGCTAGCCGCGCTGCGACCCCGGCCCTCATCGCGCTCGACCACATCGCCCTGCGGCCACCCCACCCCTGTTGTTCCTCTGGCCAGATGCTGCCCCACCCCGTCCCGGCGACCCACGCACGAGAGCGCTGCAGGAGCTCGCTCGGCCATGTCGGACCGCAGCGGCGAGATTCCAAAATTCGTCGCTCGTCGTGGATGGTTTGCAACGGGGTCCCTTCCAGGGGCTAAACAACAACTGGGCGTAGCTGTGTGCGAGGAATTGGAACGGGATGCCTTGAGTTGCGCGAATTTGGAAACGGGGAGGTGGCGGTGTTTACCGGCGTCGATGGCGGTGAGGGCGGCGAGTTTCTGGCTCGATCAAGGCCGGCCAGGCTAAGAGAGCGTGCCAGCATGGGTGCAGATGGGCGAGCGCCGTCGCGTCGCAGAAGCGATCGGACCGAAAGCGGAATATGAACGCGCGGCGGCAGCAGCACCGCATGCGAGGTGGTCAGCCACGGAGGGCTGGGCAAAGCGGCCTTCGAGCGGGTCGCCGAAAGGTGGTGCGATAATAGTAGTAGTTCGCGACCACCATGCGTGGCCGGAGATTGATGGATTGCGCGAGCCCGTTGGTCGGAAGCTCCACTCCAAGATGTAGTGCGAGCTCGCCCGACTTCCCGATCGTCGAGGAGAAGCCGACGTACATCTCCGCTCAAGATCGGTCGCAGTCGAGTTTTGTCGAAATCGCGGCCGACGAGGTCGATCGCCACGGACACCGGGGCCACGGTCACGTTGAGGACGCTTGCCGCCGCCGTCGTAGTCTATCCACGCTGGATTGGGCTGCGCGCTCTCTCGGCGTCATGGGCACGCTTTGCCTTGGTGTTTCGCCGGCATCCCCATCGCCGGTAGTAGTCGCGACAGCTCAAACACGTTGGAGATGAGGTTGTTAACGTCGACGCCGACGTGGTTGCCGTTGGTGTCGTTCATCTCTCGGTCGAGCACGGTGTCGAACTCCACGCGAAAGGCGTGGTTGGCGGGTTGCCGTTGGTGGTCGGCCGAGGACGCCGAGGTAGACCTCGGGGCCGCTTCCGGGAAGCATGGTGGGACGGGCCACCACGGCGTTGAGCCGTGGCCACCGCCGCTCTCGACGGTGACGATGTCGAGGACGAAGGCCGTCTTGAACAACGACGGCGCCTCCCACCACCGTCGAGGAAGCGTCTGGAGAGCCGTGCAACGCGTGTGGTCGACGAGGCGATTGTTGTCGTTGGCAGAGCTGGAGCGCTTCTGCGGCAAAGACCGACGGCGGAGCCGCCCAGGTCGTTCGCGTGTTGGAAACCTTGGTAGATGAAGTCGACGTCGTCGGCCGAGCATGATGAAACCACGAGGAGAAACAGCACGCAGAAACATGGAACAGAGCTGGGCGACGCGATCATCGTCGTGTTCGAAGCGCTTGTCTTTCTCCCTCTGGAATCGAGATGCAGTGAGCACGCAACGGGGGGAAGCTACTACTGCTGTTTGGAATCGAGATGCAGTGAGCATGCAGGAGCGGCAACGCGTGAACGCGGCAGCAGCGGCACTGCGAGGCAAGGATAGCAGCGGCACCGCGAGGCAGGGTCAGCCACGGAGGCGACGGAGCACGTGGCCGCGCATACGCGGAGGCGCTGGGGCAGCGCTTGAGTGCGTGGGTCGCCGAGGCAGGGTGCGGCGGCGTTCGGCCAGAGGAACAGCAGGGGAGGGGTGGCCGTGGGGCAAGGAGGTTGAGCGCGATGCGGGTCGGGGTCGCCGTGGCCAGTGTGGCCGGCGGCGAGGCTGTCGCTGCCGGCGGCGGCCATGGCGGGCTGGGCGAGCATGTCTTGAGCGTGTGGGTACGTGGCTGACCACGTGGACGACCACGTCAGCTTCTAACCCTCCTCATGTCTATTTTGGACCTGGATGAGATCACTTAAATACATTAGGGAACCAAACATGCGATTTCATAGTTTAGGGACCTAGACGAAACCCGCCCAATACTTTAAGGACCGGCCGTGCAATTTACTCTTATATATATTTACAACAAATCCTCTGTAGCAGCAGCGGCAACAACGCCAACAACAAAGACTTTTAGTGCTATGCAAGTTGGGGTAAGCTAGAGCTGAAACCCCAACTTCCTTGGGACTAAAAACCTAAAACCTTTTTATTCTAGGGGATCTAAAGACTATTCGTGGTTTAGGTATGTGGATAGTTGATTTCCATGTGCTCTTATCTATGGACAAGTTTCTGGGTATATATTGCACTCAAGTTCCTTTGTACTACTGCCTCCTATGTCAAGTTCGGTGTACCCCCTCCCTCTCCTTATTTTAGCCATGCCTTAGGATTCACCTAGGCCCTGATACCTCTGTAGATTGCAAAGAACGCATCTCTCTAAGAAGAAGTGAATCTAAATTTTGCTTGTTAGTGGCCTTGTTTAGATATGCCATAAGTTTATGTTTGATTCTATGGTTTCTGCACAAATCATTATTGAGCTGCTCCTGTACTAGCTATTGCCACTGTAACTGTTTTTGGTGTTCCTTGGACATGGGAGATGACTCCTGAATTGATGGCACTAAGTTAGCTGTACTTTGCTGTATATTTTTCAGACTCAGCTAATTAAAGCAAGGGAACAGCAACACCAACAGCCACCTCAACAACAGCAACAGCAACAGCAACAGCAACAGCAACAGCAACAGCAACAGCAGCAGCAGCAAATACAAATGCAACAAATGCTGTTACAGAGAGCTGCGCAGCAGCAGCAGCGTAGAGACGGTTCTCTTCTCAATGGTACTGCAAGTGGATTTTCTGGGAATGATCCTTTAATCCGACAAAATCCAGCTAATGCGAATTCGATGGCAGCAAAAATGTATGAAGAGAGGTTAAAGCTCCCTCCCCAGAGGGATTCTCTGGATGAGGCATCAATAAAGGTACCACCCCTAGCTAGATCTGGTCGTTCTTATCTTTTAGTTTACTCCTATTACATTGTGTCATGAAAACTTCAGTTGCAGCAAAGATATGGAGAAAATGTGGGGCAAGTAATTGATCCGAACCAAGCATTATTGAAAGCAGCTGCAACTGGACAATCCTCTGGGTATGTGCAAAATTCTAAGTTGCGTGTGTATTGCATATTTCATGCTACAAGTTAAATCAGATGGCAGACATGAATACAGAGGGTATAGGCTTCTTTCGACATCATGATGGATTTTCAAAGCACTTATTTATTTTCTATTTAGGCGAAGGATTGGTTCTTTTGGATTGTAATGGCAAAAAATCTTACTACAGTTGGCAGCTATTGTCTTAACTATCTAGAATTCCAGATACCATGAGTACAGAACAGCACAGAAACCCGTGGTCTATTAGTATTATATTGAATATTGAACTGAAAGATATATATTTTTTTAGCAGTGTTATCCTAGACGCTAAATGGTAAACATTAGGTCACCCTTTGTTTAGCGTTTAGGCTGTTTAGACTGTATTTAAATGGAGTTAAACAGCCTAAATGGTTTTGTATAGTAATATTAAAATATATACATATTTATGTATGTAAAATTCAAATATGCTAGAAAGTATACATATTTACGCATATAAAAAATAAGTATTCTATCAAATAGTTTTATTGGAAGAAAACTAAATCCCACTCCACCTCATATACTTGCGATGTTAATTAGCTGGGTGCCAATGTGGTAATTGTAATCCTCCTATTGACTAAATGGTGAATTAAATGGCCATTTAGCTCATTTAATCACGTTTAACCTGATTCTGTTTAGATGATTTTTAACGGTTTAAAACTGTCCAACCGTTTAGGGCCTAAACAGAACTGGAAGCCTTCGTTTACCATTTAAATGCTGTTTAAATGGACTAAAAGGCCATTTAGGCAAACAGTGATTTTTAGCCATCATTTCTATTGTCCTGTTAGAATACTGTGGGCAAAGTCCTATATCTGGTATGTCTTGAAGTTGGACTGTTTCTAGCTAGTTTTCTTTCCTGAAGTCTTCTCTGTATTGTGGTTCAAACCCTTGCAATAAATGTAGGGTTCATGGTTTTTAAGGCGTCGCCTAGTCGTTGAGGCGCTCGCAGGGAGTAAGGCATCCCCGAAGCCTAGCCAAAAGCAGAGGGAATCGATAGGGAGAGGCCATGCAGCTACCTCCTCGCTCATCCCCACCAGATCCGGTGCCGCCTGGGTCATCTGCGGCGGATCTGAGGGAGCAGCAGCAAGAGGTAGGGAAGGAGCGGAGGGCAGGCTGAGCGCACACAGCCAACTGCAGCACGAGGGCGGGCGGGCGGCGCTGTACCTGCGTGAGCCATGAGGGAGGAGACACGGCGGCGCTAGATGCGGCGGCGCTGCGCCTCTGTGAAGCAGGGAGGAGATGCGGCAGCACTGCGCCTGCGTGAAGGAGGGAGGCATGCGGCGGCGCTGCATCTGCGTCCGTGAGATGAGAGATGACCTGAGAAGGGATAAGGACACACTCGTGGGCTGCCTGTTGGGCTGGGCCAACCATTCTCTTTACATTTGCCCTTTTCTGTTTTTTCTTTTTCCCTTTTTCTCTTTTTCTTGCCTATTCCCTGCTGCTATTTTCCTATCTATCTATATCTATATCTATATTCTCTTATAAAGATAAACCCCACTAGCAATTTATTTTGCCATGCAAAGTGTCCACATCCGCATCCACTAGAACATCCCACTAGCACATTCAACTATCTCGCCATACAAAGTGCCCACATCAGCATCCACTAACACATCCAACTAACACATGCTGTTATGTCTTCATTCAAGCTATTCACATTAACAAACCACATCATTTACTAACATATATTTAGTTGTCCACATCAGAATGCTAAAAATCATCCACTTATGATATTTATTCAATCGTATTAGTAAATATAAGTAGTATAATTTCACCAGCGATTCCCGCAGCAACGCGTGGGGCGTTCTTCTAGTTTCTTAGAATGGTAAGGCGTCGCCTTGCATCGCCTTCGCCTAGGCGTCGCCTAGTTGACTTGAATGAGTGGCTCGCCACGTCTCGCCTTTCCGCCTTAAAAACCATGCTAGGGTCATAACTTGTTAATCATAACTCATAAGGCACATTTATGCATAAAGTATTTTTGTTAAATTTTCGGTAGATTACACTTCTTGAAAATATTGCTTGTATTTCCTTTTTTATTTAATTCCATGACTGTAACTGTTTTCTTGTTGTTTGGATTTCTGAAGTACAGTTGGCAGTTGTTTGTCATCCATTGATGCCTATTGATCATTAAACACCAACTTTACTCATCTATTTTGGCAATAGGTTTTTGTTTAGTCATTAGTATGCTTGAAACATTGGTGTGAGAGACAAATAGTCTTTTGCATTTTGCAGGAATGAAGTGTTGATTGTGGTTTCATCTGGATTATGTAGCAATTACTCCCTCTGTTCCAAATTGTAGGCTGTTTTAGTTTTGTCCTAAGTCAAACTTCTCTTTGATGTACTAGATGTTGATCCATCTCCTATAAACTTGGTCGAAGTTAGAGAAGTTTGACTTGCGACAAACTAAAACGGCCTACAATTTAGAATGGAGTGGGTAGCTTTCTAGGTGTGCTTAGTCTTGCTTTCATGAATGTTGACATGCTATCTTTCATAGGCAAATTTTGCATGGGACTGCTAGTGGTTTGTCAGGTACTCCGCAACAAGTTCAGGCAAGAAGCCCACAACCACCTATGGCAGAACAGGTTAACTGCCACTCACTTCCATGAGCAAAAATGAAAGAGAAAAACAATAAGAGAGGGGGGTGGGGGTGCGTTATTAACTTTCTCATCAATGATCATATATAATTTTTGCAGAATATTAGGACCGAGATCAATCCAGTGTTGACACCGAGAGCAGCAGGCACTGAAGGTTCGTTGATTGGTCTCCAAGGTAATAGTCATCTATTATGTTCACTAGACTCACACTGTTGTCCTGTTAATTATGCCCCCCTGTTTCAAAGGCGTTCAACCGTACCTCGCCTTGGGAAACAGTGGCGCCTAGGTGTGGACTCAGCACTCGCTTGGACGCCTAGTTGCCTTTGAAACCATGATTATGCCACATTATTCCTGTTGAATCTTTTGGAGATAGCATCATGTCATGTAATACTTACTACTCTACTACGTAGTTTTCTGTAGTTAAGCTCCCGTCTCATTTTAGCAGGATCTAATCAGGCTGGAAACAATTTAACTCTGAAAGGCTGGCCACTCACGGTAAGCTCTACTCTATGATTGGATGTGTTTCATACTTTAGCTCATCCCTGTGGTTGCATATCTGAGGAGCATAGTTATATTTTCAAAATAGATTATATTGGGTTACTGTTCAAGTGTGTCCCTCTACCTATGATAGAAGCATTTAACTCACCAACATCACATATTTTACATTCTCCTTGGTATGTGGTGTGACTATACCGCATGTAAAAATTCCCTTCTTTGTGATCACTTGCTATATGGACATGGATATCTGTCATATCTATTAGACATTTAGGTTATTAGCATTATCATATGAATACTAAAAGCTTAGGGCAGTCCCAATGCTGAAACTATCCTCTGGTTTCCATAGCAAGAATCTTCCTTTAGAAACTACACAACATCACATATTTTACTTTCTCCATGATTTTTTCCCCCACAACAGCCGAGCCGAACTTCATTACTCGAAAGCAACGAAATTACAAGAGTTTGTAATATCCAAAATAAAACCGTGCCGAACCTAAATTGAGGCCGCGTTGAATGAACACAGAGGGTTCACCCAACTGACGCTAAACGAACCACTAAACCGACAAGCGTTAAACGCAGATTACATCATCACCATCCACCAGAGCGTTCAGACCGCGCGCAAAAAAGGCTACGATTATTACGTGGCCAGATTTGGCACAAACAGCACACAGGCTGTGATCCAGTTTCAGAACCATCAAACGACTTCACAGCAGAGACTCCCGGCTTGAACCATCACCAACCTGTTGTCACTTCCATCCATCCGTCCTTGCTGTTGAAAGTGCAAAGCCATCTTCCTCGGAACTTCCGTGCCCTGATCCAACTGCAAGGCGATCACGTCCTTTTGAAGCCCTGCCCAATATGTTAACATAGAACACATCAAACATATGATCTCAGTGGGAGCCTTCACTCTTTCCCATCAAGTCATACACTGTTCCTTGTTCTCCATATAGCCCAACAAACCGCAGCTAAACCCACAGTGTATACATGATTGCCTTTTGGAAGACACCAATTAATCCAGACCCAAAACTGAGCAAACGAGTTGAGTCTCACTGTTGCTCCAAAAACATAAGTTATGATGCTCCAAACATATTTACTCACAGGGCAATCAAAAAACAAATGATTCACAGACTCCTTTTCCTGACAGAAAGCACAACTGGGGCCACCCTTCCATTTCCTTTTAAGAAGATTGTCTTTGGTCAAAATTGCATTTTGCAGAGTTAACCACATGAAAATCTTGATTTTTAGGGGGATTTTGGCTTTCCATAATTGTCTATTATCTGCACGAGCGCAGTTTCTGTACAGATGCTTGTACACTGAACTAACTGAAAAAAAAACCAGACTTTCTCCATGGTATGTGGTGATCACTTGCCATATGGACATATGGATATCTGTCATATCTATTAGACTGTTAGGCTATTAGCATTGTGATATCAATACTAAAAGCTTAGGGCAGTCCCAATGCTGAAACTATCCTCTGGTTTCCATATCAAGAATCTTACGTATACAATGCTTGAATTATCGATGTAAATGCTACATAGTGGGTTCTCATCCTTCAGAGACTACGAGTGTAATAGGAGCATCCGTTGACAAAAGGATCACCCTAAGATGATCATCTCAATTCTCATGGCTATTGGGAACGAATCAAATCAGATGGTTCTATTTCTCAACCTTTCTGACTTGCTCCTACGGAACCAAGGTCGAAAGGATTGAAAAAGTCAAGTCATTCACAACCACTGATGAAGGATTAGTAGTTCTTTTTCGAAACCCATTTTGAAAAAGAATGGATTCGGTCTTATACATACGCGAGGAAGGTAATCAAAAAAGAAAGAAGACGAGTTCAACTACACAACACAGTGTAATCATTTATTTGTGTGGGACCTTAACTAATTAAGGCCAATCTGTCCTCTTCTACCTCAGCCCTCCGCACGTGCTCTTGCCCTTGTACTCTCCTCTCCATTTTCCCCCAGTTTTTGGAGATCCAAGCCACATGGCTGCAGGGGTGGGACGTGGGGCCGGCGGCAGTGCAGCAGAGGCCTGTGGGTGGGGGTGGGTGGGCTCAGTGGTGGCGCAGCAGAGAGCACGTGGGCGGTGGTGGGGTGCGTGCCTGGTGGTGGTGGCATAGCTGAGGATGCACTGGAGGTGGTGGGGTGCAGGGCATGGCTCAGCGGCGGTGCAGCAGAGGGCTCGTGGGCACGGCACCGCATCCTCTTCACCACGAGGCAGTTGCAAGGAGGTTGTGCCGGATCCATGGGCATTGTGCTGCTGCTTCATCGTCCTGGCCAAATCTTGGCTATGGTAATGGTGACCAAGGTAGGCCCCATACCTAGAACTAGTGGACTTGCCCAATGCTACTTCGTCCGTCTCTTCGGCTCTCTGCAGGAGCCGAAACCATTTCCTCTACAAGAAATGGTTCCCTCTTCTTTCCTCAATTACTGTCTTGCCACGCCATTGATTTGCTTCCGTGGCAGGCTAATTAATGCCAAGAAACTATAGCGTTGGGACTGCCCTTATACTAAAGTAAATTTGTTGATGTAGTTCAACTTGTGCTAAATTCATTATGCTTTAAACCATATAGAGGAAACACTGAACGACCTGGTGATCATCTGGGCTGAAGTTGGCATCTCCATATACCCCGAAGCAGTGGCTGTGTTGCTTTGCAACAGCCTTGCATTTGTTCTGCCACATATAATGCCCTTGTATCTTACAGGATCAGCTGTACTGTGGCAAATTTCTAGTTCCACTACAGATTTTGTGGTATACTTAGTTCTGGGGGTGTGACAGAAATAATGTCTGCATTCAACAATTTATGTAGTTTTGAAGTATAATACGCATCATGTGATTGATGCTACTATAGATGTTTTCTGTCCAACTTCTGTTTTAACATGCAGTTTCTTTTATCTTAGGGACTTGATCATTTTCGCTCTGGAATTCTGCAGCAGAAGCCATTTATGCAATCTCCACAGCAATTTCAGCAGCTCCAGTTTCTGACTCCACAGCAGCAGCAGCAGCAGCTTTTGCTGCACGCTCAGCAAAATCTGTCTTCCTCGATGTCAAGCGACGTTGATACCAGAAGATTAAGGATGCTTCTTAACAACAGGAATGTGGTCCTTGGACATGGACAGGATGGGCAGACAAATAGTGGTGGTGATATTATCCCAAATATTGGTTCACCGGGGCAAAGTGGTGGATCACGTAATGATATAGATATACTAATAAAGGTATGCCTACAGATCTCTACCTCGAAATCACTCATTTTCCAAAGTTCATACAACGTGAAGTTATCATATTTAGTTAGCTAAAGGTCATATCAGATGCCGTGCCATTAGCTTAGTATACAGAGGTTGCATGCCCCATTTGTTGAGATGACGAGTAGGGTGGATGGAGGAACATCGAGACCGAGTCGTACTTCTGGCTTAACCTGATTTTATTGGAATATATTCACCATTTGTTTGCTTTCCTCCAGCTTGAGATCCTCTTAATCTTTGTAACTTTGTGATAGTTCTTAAATTCAGGCATAGTTTGTGCCTGTACTTAACTTGTTTCCAGAATTGTATTCTAGAAGCTTCTACCATGGTGCTCACTGCTTACCTAATTGAATAATGAGTTAAATGCATCAGTGGCCCTTATACTTGTCAAGGGGTACCACTTAGGTCCATGAACTTTGAAAATGTATTTGTGGGTCCCTAATGAACTCATTAAGTGGTGCACCGCACATCCCTAAACTCGCAGATCCCATTTCTAGACCATAACGACCACTATGGTGCACCACTTAACAAGTTTAGGGACCTAGAAATACGTTTTCAAAGTTCGTGGACCTAAGTGGCTCCCCTTGACAAGTTCGGGGCCGTTCGTGCATTTAACTCTTGAATAATTAGCCTGCTTCGTACTATGCAGCTAATCTATGTTACAGTGTGAAATGAGTGTTAAAGGACTGGTCATGTAGTTTTCTTTAATAGTTTTTGGCTGATACATTTGTACCTAACAGCCTATTTTAACAGAGAAATTCCTCCCTTTACATTAGTCTTCTAACCATTTTTTTTACTTCTGATATGAGCATGTACTTATATTGGTATTTCTATATAGTAGAAGAAACTTGCTCTTCTACAGCAGCAGCAGCAACAGTTGCAGCAGCAAAGTCATAGCCAGCAGCAGCAGCTTCAGCAACCTGCGCTCTCTGGACAGCAGTCTCAAAGCTCAAACCAGCTTCTCCATCAGCATGGAAAATCAGGAGTTGGGAGCTTGCCTATCGATGAAAACTTGCCAAACTCTTTTGGATTTCCTGAACAAGTATGTTTGTATGATATGACTGTAGTGTTTTCATGCTGGTTCTGGTATTAATGAATGATATATGGTGCAACCTGCAATCAGAGGAATAATTACAATCTGCAAACAGTTGTAGTTTGTGCAACTGCAGTATCTAATAACTATCTATAATGAATCATGTAGATCATCTTGGTTTTACTTATTAACTTGGCCTCATATGATTACCTGCTACTTCTATGAATGCCTTTTTAAGTTAGCCTTTACAAATATATTGTTGCAAAGCCATTAATAAGCTGATTTTCTCTCATTGTGTAAGTAAAGCTGGAGCTGCAGTTTGATTGTATATTTGAAGACTTGCTTTTAGCATTACTTACCCTATATGTATCCACAGGTCTTTGGCTATCTTGCCTAAATAGCACTATGCCCCTTGCTTACTCTCGATTTTATCATTTGTTTGAAAATTTGTGGCACTGCTTCCAAATGCTTCATATTAGCAAGAGAACGATTTGTCTTGTGACAATCACTTATGATCTTCCTTTCGTTGTTCAGGGATCAAAGAAGAGAAAGAAACCTGTCTCATCCTCTGGTAGAGCTAATAGTTCAGGAACAGTGAACACTGCTGGGCCATCTCCTAGCTCGGCACCCTCAACACCATCTACTCACACGCCAGGAGATGCAATGTCCATGCCACAACTGCAGTATAATGGTGGCCCTTCAAAACCATTGATGATGTTTGGATCTGATGGCACTGGAAGCTTGACTTCTCCAGCAAACCAGCTGGTATTTACATGCTGATCCAGACATTCTCTTTCAAAGTGCCATTTAACACAATGCTTTGCCAGCAAGATAACAAAAACTCTCAACTTCAGGGTGACGTTGACCGTTTGTTGGAAGATGGTTCCTTGGATGAAAATGTAGAATCTTTTTTATCGCAAGATGACATGGATCCTCGAGAAACAATGGGACGCTGCATGGATTCTAGTAAAGGTTCGTTATTGTTTCCCACTGATGCCTTGCTCTTCTTGAGTCAGTCGGATAACAGCTATCATTATTTCTCTCATGCCTTTTGGTTTGGAAGATGAATATTCATGCTTTTTTTTTCTCGAACACGGAATATCCATGCTTTTAAACCTTGCCACTCCCTAGAACTTATGTATTTGCTTTATAATTCGTGTCACCATTCTTCTTTTTATAAGTCAATAAGTTTGCTGCTATTTTTTTCTGCATGACTGCAACTATTTTGAGGGGTTGGATGCAATGCTAACCTGTCAATCTCTCTTTGTTGCAGGGTTAGGTTTTACTGAGGTTGCAAAAGCCCGTGCGAGTACAAACAAAGTTGTCTGCTGCCATTTCTCATTGGATGGGAAACTTCTTGCCACCGGGGGGCATGATAAAAAGGTGTGGATGCCAAGATGAAACAAATTCGCTTTTAAGTGCTAAAGAAATTTCATGCTACAACCTGTTTCTTTTTCAGGTCGTTTTATGGTTTACAGATGTGCTAAAACGTAAATCTGCATTAGAAGAGCACTCGTTGCTAATTACAGATGTTCGATTCAGCTCTGGCATGACCCGCCTTGCAACATCTTCCTTTGACAAAACCGTGCGGGTTTGGGATGCTGACAATGTATACACCTTTTCATTACTAGCTATCTTTAGAAATTGTACATTCGAATCCACTGACTAATTTGCTGCCTGTGTGCAGCCAGATTATTCTCTCCGTACTTTTACAGGTCATTCAGCATCTGTCATGTCACTTGATTTTCATCCGAACAAAGAAGACATCATTTGTTCGTGTGATAGTGATGGTGAAGTGCGGTGTTGGAGCATAAATAATGGTAGCTGTGTGACCTGCGTTAGGGTTTTCAATGTATGCAACACTCATTTTCTCTGATTCACATCTGTTGTGTTTATACCATGCTAATATGTGCCCCTGTTACTATTTGTAATTTTTCTTTGCAGGGAGGAGCTACTCAGTTAAGATTTCAACCTCGCCAGGGTAAATATCTGGCAGCTGCCTCGGAAAAGGGAATATCCATATTGGATGCGGAGACGCTACAAGTTTGTAGAACTCCTTTGCAGGTTGGTAACTAGATACCACATCCAGTATGCGCTGGTGATGCTTTCATTGTTCCTTTTGTGCAGTCTATGCTAAATGCCGACCCCCATTCCCACCCATCCACCCACATACATTTGGTTTGATTAAAAAAAGATATAGCTGAGAAATTATACCCGTTTATTCTATGCTGTGTGCTCAGAATAGTATCAATTTCTTGTTTAGTTACTTGAAATTTCTATAGTAGGTTGGCAAATGGCACCAAAATTACCAAGAGTAATTACATGTAATGTTCTACCCCCTCTATTCCAAATTATAAGACGTTGTCTTTTCTAGATACAGTGTTTTTGCTATGTACTTAGATATACACTGTGTCTAGATATATAATAAAAGTAATATATCTAAAAAAACAAAAACATCCTATAATTTGGAATGGAGGGAGTACTAAATTATTGAGATACAGCCTAAAGATGAATGTAGGTTTATACTTATTGTGGTATGATGAGCTTTTGACCAGCTCATCACCATCTAGGCTGAAATTTTGTTTTTCTTTCCTGAATTATAATATCAGTTCCTTGAGGTCCAGGTCATTATGTATTGAACCCATTGTCCTAAATCGTAGTAAGTGTAAGTATGCAACTTTGCAGCAGCTATTCTAAGTTCACTATATGGTTTTTGCATTTACTCTGCATTATTCTCGATGTACTCAGTATAATCTGGACTTGTGTTTTTGTGTAGGGCCACATACAGATTATTCAGTCAGTATGTTGGGATGCTGCGGGCAACTATCTGGCGTCTGTCAGTGAAGATTCTGTCAGGGTGTGGTCATTCACCTCAGGGAACGATATCGAATGCATACATGAGCTGAACTGCAGCGGGAATAAGTTCCATTCATGTGTTTTCCACCCAAGTTACCCGAATTTGCTTATAATTGGTTGTTATGAGGCAAGTTCTCCCTTATCTTGTCAGAGGCCTAAGCTAATCGCCTTTGTAATATCCATCTTTCTCATTGCATTTGCTTGTATCTTTCACATCATGCAGTCTCTAGAGCTTTGGGACATAAGGGAGAAGAACACAGTGACAATCAGCAACGCTCATGACGGCATGGTTGCTGCCCTAGCCGCGTCAAGTGCATCGGGGCTGGTTGCGTCAGTGAGTCATGATCAGCTCGTTAAGCTCTGGAAGTGACACTGAACACAGAAACGCTTTGTCTGTGTCACATTTACACTGTCGTGGCAAAAGCCGAAAGGGGAGCTGACCTGATCTCCTAGGTTAATTTGCAACTCACTATTTATGTGGTGGCATGCGCAAACTATTCAAAGAGTTGTCATTAATGTGCTTCCCTTATTTCTTTTTACATACGGCTCTTCGTTCTTTTGTTTTGTTTTTTCGGTAAAAAAAATGTTCTTTTGTTTTCTTCTCCCCTTTCCTAACCACCACTATAGCATTTCCAAGTGTCGAAAGCCTATTTTGGCCTGGTCCAAAGACCAAACCCGTCGCCGCTGCTTTATCAGCGCTCCTAGCTCCTAGCCACTCGGCGGATCATCTGATGGTTGGATACCTTATTGGCGAAGGACAAGTGTAGGATCATCTGATGAAGAGGGCTAAATGTCAGCGAGTGAAGACCCAATGGTTAAATGGGAAACATAGCGGATCATCAGGAGTTTTAGTTTTTTCAACGGCTCTGAGGGGATGAGGCTGTGCATATGAGGTTGCTTTAGGGCTGTTACAACTCTGCCCAAGTGTTCTTACACTTCATTCGCCCTCTCAAGTTAATCAAGATTAGGATAGACATTATAGTGCATCCTTGTAAAGTTTAGGCCTTAGAGCTTGAGTGATTGAAGTTTGTTGCTCTTTTATCTTGGTGATCCGAAGCGTTAAAGTTTAGGCCTTAGAGCTTGAGTGATTGAACTTTGTTGCCCTTTTTATCTTTGATCTGGAGTGTTGGTTAGGATAGATGTTATAGTGCATCCTCGTAAAGTTGAAGTCTTAGATCTTAAGAGCTTTGAGTGATTGGACCATGTTGCCATTGTATTTTGGCGACGCGGAGCGTTTGGGATGTTTGTGACCTTCGAGATAAATGATAGATACTTGATTGTTTAATTAGCCGAGTGTTTGTGTGCTCGTGGGGCGCTTGGTTGTGCAGCACCAAAGCTATGGCGGTGAGATAAATGATAGATACTTGATTGAGCTCACTATTTACGAGGAACATGGCACCAAGTTTAGTTGTTGTGTGTGCGAAAAAAATTCAAATTAAACCGAAATCAAATTCACCTATGGCATTACCGCACCTGCAAGAGATATTGTTCAAAATCTACCAACCGAAATTTAGATAGGGTAAAGCTCGGAAATCGCCGAGAAATCACCATTTTGGTTAACGGAAACGGCGACGGTAATCGACGAAGCGGAAACGAGAATGGTAGAGATATTCGATAATGAAAACGAAAACGATCCAGCACTCTTCTGACCGCTTCCGAAGAATACCGTATGTATAGGGTCTTGGTATGACAAGCGCTAGGCCGAGCCCATTTGGCAAGCCCGCTGGCGCCCCAGCCTCTCTGGATTGTTGCAAGGAGCTAGCACGTAAACCTAGAGCCGCCGCCTCCATCACCAACGAGGTTAGAGCTCACTATGTCCTGCATGAACTTTGCTTATCCGCTGATCGTCCTTCTTCACGAGGAACATGGCACCAAGTTTATTGTTGTCCTTGTGTAGGATCGACCCATGACACGTCTGGTAAGTGTAGGACCGTATACGTGTGTATATATATATATATATATATATATATATATATATATATATATATATATCACGTCATTCTGATTTAGCCATATGCGGGAATCATTCAACTATTTATGACATATACGTAAAAAATCATTCAAATTAAACCATAAATCAAATATCAATCACTCATTGACCCATGGCGTATATATTCACTCATTAACTGATTTATTTCTATGTGAACTTTATAGCAATATCTATGCAAGTGTAGAGATATTAGTTCATAATTGTAAAATCTACCGAGAACGTTTGCAAATTGATAGATAGGGTAGATTTCTTGGCATGTCTGCTTTTCTGCAACACCTGCTACAGCATTCATCCGAGAGAATTTTATTGCCAAGTGGTGGTACTGGTACTGGTGGCACTGAAACAGATGGTGTTGATCCAATCGATGTGGATGCAGGCAGCGATGGCGAGGATGGAAATGAACCTACTAGCAAAAGGGCCAAGAAAAGCACATCTGAAGTGTGGCAGTACTTCACCAAGTACAAAGTAACACACACAAGTAGATCGGCCTCAATTCTAGAAATCACCTCAACAACAACAAGAACACAAGCTTACAACAAAAACTGATAAAGAACAGTTGTCCAACCTTACATGATCAAGAAGCTAGCTTGAGAAAATTCTATGAGGATGACACAAGGATTTGAGCATGAATATTTCCAAGAGTGGTTCAACTCGCCACCTAAAGGCTTGCCTATGTCCACGTTGTTGAGGTATACCACTATAGGCTTATTGGGGGATTTGCAACCCTACCTGTCGTTCTCAAGTCAAGAGAGTGAACTCTTGAGATGAGGGATGAGCGGCAAATGAAGTTTTACTCATTGTAGAATTGAAGAGGCATAAGAGGTGGTTGCAAACCTCCCGGCTCCCACATAAGTTAGCAAGCTCCATGGGTTCCTGAAATGTGACAATCTCACTTGATGCTAGGAGCCAAGCTCCAAGAGTAACAAACACAAACCTTTATATTGTAAAGGTTGCTGTAAAGGGATCGACGGTTCTAAGACTAAGAGTGTATTGCTCCTTCAAGTCGTGAACCAAGTGCTCTTTAGAGTTTAGAAATCAATGAAGATGCTCTCTTATCAAGTTGTGGACCCTTATGATCCTCAAGGATTGATGGAGAAATCAATGGATTTGCTTGGGGGCTTGAGGTCAACAATGGAGTGAGAGAGAGAGCTAAAGCCCCTGCTTTTGATATTTTGAGTGTGATGAAGTTTGGAAGAAAGGAGTGTCAGGTGGTGGAATCGCATTTTTGTTTTTCTATCTATCTCTACAAGCACTTGTTGGGAAAGAAAGGGAAAAGGTATATATATACTCATGTGCCCCAACGGTCACTTAAATCATAGATAGCCATTAAGGGGAGAAAAAAAAATGTATATACCCCTTAGCCCTTGGAGATGATGACACGGACATTTCACCCAAGAGGTCTATCAGGCGAATCGATGTCCGTGGCCTTGAGGTCAAGTGGTGAGACTTGGAGGCCACCACCAAAGGGTGGAGAGCGAGCCTGAGCCTGACCAAAGGGTGAAGCGAGACGCTGCTCGCGACCAAAGGGTTGGGCGAGCTTTTGATCGAATAAGCGGAATATCGAGATCGTATCGATTTAGTTTCGAGACAACAATAGGAGGCGAAAATGATTTAACCTCCTATCGAACCCAAAGGTCGGGCGAGATTTGAGCCCGCGACCTCTAGAAATCACCTCAACAACAACAAGGGGTCACGAGCACGAGGATGACACAAGGATTTATCCTGTGGTTAGAGCGTTGTTGAGGTATACCACCAAAGGATTTACAACCCTACCTCGTTCTCAAGTCAAGAGAGTGAACTCTTGAGATGAGGGGTGATTTTACTCACTGCAAGAGGTGGTTGCAAACTCACATAAGTTAGCAAGCTCCATGCCCGCAAGCTCCAAGAGTAACAAACACAACATGCCCGGCTAAGACGTGAACCAAAGGGATGCTCTCTTATCAAGTTGTGGCGAGGCGAGATTTGCTTGGAGGCTTGAGGTCGCGACCTAGGGGTCTTTGAAGTTTGGAAGAAAGGAGGAGAGAAAGAGCCCAGCGACCAAAGGGTCTGGGAGAAAAAGTGGTGAATTCACCCAAGAGGTCAGGCGAGGCCGTGGCCTTGAGGTCGGGTGAGCACGAGGCCACCAAGGAGGTCGAAGTTCAAAGTCGAGGCAGAGCTCTCGCACGAGACCCGCAAGACAAAAGAAGGATAATAGTGAAGTGTAGACTGTCTCGCGACCTAGGGGTCGGGCGAGATAGAGCCCGACTGTGAAGGGTCAGATGGGAGCGATGAAAGGATGATGCATGTTGTTGTTTGAGCACTTGATGCATGTTGTTGTTTGAGCACTTGGTAGCACAGATTAGCTTAAGCATTGTGCCCCCCTTTATAGTACGGTTTTTCCTATACTCAAATTCAATATATAAAAGAATTTAAACCTCCTTTGAGTTTAAAGCCATCTATATTTGTAGTTCGGGGCTCCTCCGTTTCGTGTAGCATTCTTGAATATAAATTCGCTGCTTGTCATCTCGATAAATCTCATTAGTTCTCTAATTACGAGGTCATTATCACCAAAACCCACAATTAAGGCTTGATTATACTTTCAATCTCTCCCTTTTGGTGATTGATGACAACCCAATTAGAGCTTACAAAAGATATAAAATAAATACTGAGACTTTTCGAGCCATGGGTGTATAGTCTCCCCCCTAAATATGTGAATAGAGAATTAAATTCTCAAATTGGCATAAGAAGTCAAGATTCATATTTTAGTGAAAGTGATGGGGCTCCCCCTATATCCAAGCTCCTGTGGGGGTGTTGGTGTTGCATACTGTGTCAGGTATGTAAAACGTGATGCAAATGATAGTTATGCACACATGTGCTTGCTGCTGTGCGGCAGAGCCGCACCTGACTATACGAACAAGACAGAGTCAAGCACCACACAGCTAGCTCAGACAAAAGGATATGCAACTTAGCACAATAAGATGACTTCTAATCCACACAACGATACATGTCCATATCCGATAAACAAAGAGTCAAATAGTAGCATTATTTCACAATTTAAAGTTTTGAGCAACTCTCAAACTTTTCACCTAGTGAAGACTAACACTCATTGAATAGGACATGAAGCGTAGCTGTTGCGAAAAGTTGTTGACCCCTCTAATTTTCTCCTCCTTTGACATAAAGCACCAAAAAGAGAGAAAAAGAAGAAAGATCAACACCTAATCATCATCTCCCTGGATGTTAGTCCAATCAATATCATCACCTCCTACAGCAGTCCCGGCACCACCATCACAATCATCGTCGTCGGAGTCAATACGTGCACCGTCCTGACGGTGAGTGGTGGTAGTGTAGCAAGTGGAACGCCTCGGCTCCTGTCTTTGACGATATCCCTCTAGGGTCTCTTC